GGGGGGAAAGGCGTCCTGTCTAAATATTAGTTTAAGAAACGGAAGGATCTACGGCCGGGCTCTGTCTGCATCTGCAACCCCGTCACCTTCTCCCAGCTCCAGCCGCCAGCTTGCGGCCGCCGCCGAGCCGTGGTAACCAAATCCAGAGCTCTGCAGGGGCCGGGAGGCGAATTTCACCCCGGCGTCGAGGGAGGGAATTTCCCACTCTTGCTGCGGTCTGCACGGAGGCTTTACAAAAACAACCTAGACCTCAGATGTCTTTATTGCACATATATGGTAGCTTGTAGCCAGCACTGATTTAAATCCCATCCTTGCTTCGGGAGCCAATCCACAATTAGGCGCTGGGTCGAGGGCAGGGTTTATCACCGCGGGAGAAGGGACTGACGGCTGCCGGAGGCAGCGTGTGGGTCCTGGATGAGTGCTGAAGTCGCAGGTCTGAAGCCAGGATCATCTGTGGATCCCAAATTCAGACTCTGCTCTTCGTGGGTGCTCCTGGATTTAATGGCAGAAGCGGCCGAGATGCTGCACGGCGCAGGGCAGAGCGCTCGGGCGGGGAAGGGGGGGGTTCTCTGTGAAGGACTTCAGGAGGTTTGAGGACTTGGTTTTGATTTTTTAGCTGCTGGTTTTAACTGGGCCTTTGGTTCAGACCCAAATCTCCCCACTGCGGTGCTGGCTCCAGGTCACAAAGCGGAGCTGGCGATGCTGCACCTGAGCTTTGCTCTGGGCTGTGGCAGTGCCCCGGTGGGAGCATCCCCAGCGTCCCCACAGCCACCAGCGGCTTGTCCCGCGCCTCCCGCCCCAGCAGGTCCGGGGATGGGCCGGGGAAATGAGACTTTCCTATTTCTACATCTCAAAATTTTAAATAGCACTGGATCTTGAAGTGCTCACTCCCTCCTGGTCCAGCTCGTCTCTTGCCTGGAGGAAGGAGCAGAGGAGGTGCAGCGCATCCCGCTGCCGGCTGCAGGCACCCCGGGGGAGGCCGGGCTGTCCCCCCCACTCTGCCATCAGTCTGTGCAGGATGGGCACCAGGGCCAGGCTCCCCCCGGGCTGCACAGCCGCAGGATTTGCGAGGGCAAGGGGAGAGCCCAGCACCTTCCAGGCCTCGTGGCATCCAGCCCCTGGGCTGTAAATAAGAGGAGCTGGTCCGGACTGCTGGGACGTGGCCCTGGGGAAGGGGGGACAGGGAGGTCCCGGCACTGCTCCAGCGCCCCTTCTCCCTGGGAGGTGGGCACCCCTGGGTGCCTGCGCAGAGGGAGGGGTGGGTGGTGCTGGGGGCTGGAGCAGGCCTGGCTGGGGCTGCACTGGGTGCCCCCCCCCGGTGCAGATGTGAATCACAGCTCTCGGCTCAGCCCTGGCCCCGCTCTCCCAGGGAAAGGCCCCTCCTAGGGCTGCCGTTGGGCTCCTCTCCTGCAGCCGTGCCAGACTGCACGGTGTGCTTTTAAGGTTGATTTCCACCTTTGGGGGACCGCAAGGGAGGATCTGAGATTTGCAAGATTCACCTTTTGAGGTCGAGGTACCTCTCCTGTGGCCCTAAACGCGGGCCAGCGGGTGGCGTGGCCGGAGCAGGCATCGCGGTGGCTGTCACCGCGGGGCACAGCGTGCCATGGTGGGGTGACACCCAGCACAAGGGCGGGCAGCCGCCCACCCAGGAGAGCCCCATCCTGTGAGATGCTGAGCCACGCCGGGGCGTCACAAAGAGCCGGCAGCTGCCTGTTGATGTCAGCCCCTGCCTGCAGAGCATCTCACGGTACCCAGCAGGGCTGGGCCTCAGCGGAGAGGGAGATGCTGAGAGCAGGGAGGGTGCAGGGGCCCCGCCTGGGTGCCCGGCGCAGGAGGTGCAGTAGCACAGCTCAGGACTGGTGTGTGTTTTACTGGTGTGGGGTGGTTTTGTTTTTCCCCTGGTGCCGCAGGCAATGTCATTGCTGGTCTAAGCTAAAGCACATGTGCACAATCCCACTTCCAGGACCCTTGCTAAGCCCAGGGCAGCAGAGTGTGGTGCTGCTCTGGCAGCACCCAGGGCTCAGTGTGTGTAGGGACGGGGTGAGGACCCAGGTACCAGCCCCCCGCTCCCACCCCTCTGCTCCCACCGCGCCGGGTATCACTTGGCACCCCTGGAGTGCTGCCGCAGCGATGGAGCCGTGGGGTGACCGGCCCCTCGGTCAGGCTGAGCCGTCTGCTCCGTAAGCTGTCTGGACTGGAGAAATCCCCCCCGACCTAGTTTTTTCTGGGATTTGGCCAGTTTGGAGTAGTCTTTCCCCATTAAGCTTGGAGGAGAGGAAGAGAAACCCTAACTTGCTCCCTCCTGGTTGTGCCAGGCACAGTGCAGAGATGCTCTCGTGTGAAGGAGCATCCCAAGAGTAGGAACCCCCTCTGCGATCACCCTGGGAAGGGAAATGCCACAAGCAGTTTTGTTCCCGTTTCTTCTTCGTCACGAAACCCGAAACGGGCTCACTTTGTAACTCAGCATCCACAGAACTAAATTGAAACAATCTCTTTGCCACCGCGTTGTTCTCAAACAACGACAAAAAAGCATTTCCTCCCGCAGCTGTTCAAAGGCCACGTCGCCAGCATGTCAGTCCCGTAATAAGAAATGTCAGTTGCCTCAACACTGGTTTTCATGAAGTGTTTTGATTTTGATGGAACCACTTTTTCTTTTTTTCTTTTTTTCCAGCAGAAAAGGTTTCCTTTGAACTTTGTCCAAACCCAGTGTAGAAGGGGGTGCCTGGTGGCTGCTGCGAGGGAGGCAGGGCAGCCCTGCCCGGCCCTCGCTGGGGGTAGGCAGCGCTCTGACAGCCCTGGTGCAGCAGGAGATGTCCCAAGAAGGGAAGTTCCTCCTTTAGCATCACTCCTAGGCTGCAATAATCCAAGGCAGGAGTTGAAGTTTTCTCTATTTCAGCAGCTTTTTTTGCAGCACAGGGACCTGGTTGTGTGGTGCTTGGGGCAGGGCGATAAATCCCATCCGTGAGCTCACCTGGGTGATGCCTGGTGCTGAGCAAGGAAATAATTTGTGAGCAGGGTCTGGGCTTGGGGGGTTTGCTGTAACAGGGCTCCAGGCTTTAGGGAGACCCTCAGTATCATCTTGGCCTGTTTTGTTTGTTTTTTTTTCCCAGGCTGCAGCAGAAGGGTGAGGCAGTTGTAATCCACCTCTAGTCCTTCCCAGGGAGAAAACCACGTCCCTGAAGGAACCAAACGAATGCCGGTTTTTAAAGACTATTTAAAGCAAGAAAATAGGCCAGGATTTGGGGGATGGATAGAGCAAAGAGCCATTACCGGGGGCTGCGGAGGGCTGGCAGCCCACCACCCTTGCTGCCTCCAGGCCACGGGAGCTCCGGGGACAGCCGGGCTCAACAAACACATTTTGGTCGAGTCCTGGGGTGAGAACCACTTTTTGCCCTGACTTTGCCATCTCTGGGTCTCGCTTGTGGTGGCGGAGCTGTTTGCAAAAGCGCTGAGCACTCACATCACTGACCAGGCCACGGGCTTCTGCATGGCTTGTGGTGGCTTTTTTGCCTTTAATAATGTTGGTTTTGGCTGTGATCTGACGGAGCTGGCGGAGAGCACGGGGTGTATTTATTGCTGGCAGTTGTTGCTCCCTGACCCTCCCCTATAAAACACCGGGGCTGTTGGACTTGGTGAAGGCAGCTGGTGGCCGAGGACCTTTTGGCACCATAAAATGGGGCAGAGCCCCCAGTCCTGCTGCCAAATCCCCGGGCAGCCTCGTGCTGCGCTCCCGGAGCAGTGTCAGCTTGTCCCTGTGCCAAGGACCCGAAATCCCACATCCCCGTGGGGTCCATCCCAGGGGTTGTGGTCCCTGAGCAGCTCTGGGCTGCAGCCAGCAGAGCCGTGCTGGGCGGAATGAGCAGGGGATGGGCCCAGCAAGGTGCTGAAGCCATGTTTTAGGTTCTCCCTGGGCTTTTTCCTCTCTGCTGCCTTCCCTGCAACAGGCAGGGATGCGGTGCCCTTGTGTGACACAGGAGGACCGAAACTGGCCAAAACCTTGGGTACAAACCAAAACATCTTCATCTCCTCGAGCAGGTGCTGCATGCCCACCCGGGGACACCCATCCCATCCCGCCAGGATGTCCCCGAGGAAAGGCTCGCAACTGATTTAATAGGGCAGCTGCTGTCTTCGTTAAGTGGTGCTGGCTTATTAAGAGCACATTTTTGAGGCTTAACAGCTCCACGGAGCCGTCTGGGAGGGATGGTGCCAGCGGCGGAGCCGACACACGTGGCAGGAGGACGCCGGAGGCGGCCGCTGGCAGGGATGCTCCACCGAGCCGGGCTGGGTGCTGCAGCATCGCCCTACTGCCCCGAACCGGGGTGGGGGCCGTGCCTGTTTAGAGCCCGAGGGCGCTTCGGGGAAGGGCAGAGGAGAGACTGGAAGGATCCAGCCGGGATTTGGGTGGCACAAGCCCTCTAAGCACAGACAGAGGGACACGAAGGGGCGGTGATGTCCGGCTGTGCCCTGGCAAAGCGTCACTTGCGGAGGGGTGATGGGAGGAGAGGGAGGCCTGGCCCCCACTTGACTCCAAGAGCAGATCCGAGATCTTTTCCATCACCAAACGCCGGCACAGAAGCTGCAGCAGGACAGGCTGTGTGGGCTGCGGGCGATGGAGGAGAGGTGGCATCGGCGTGCCAGCCCAGGGCTCCCTGCCAGGACGGGGCTGCTGGCGGGGCGCAGGGCTTGGCTGGGGCTGCCGGCTCGGCTCCCGCAGGCAGCAGGAGAGGAGATGCGCCACAATCCATCTTCTTGTCGGAGCTCTTCCTTCAGCTGCGCCGCGCCGTTACCTTCCACCGGCGCTTTCTTTAATTTCCTGTTGCTCTGAGCAGCGCCAGCAGGTACCACTGCAGCATCTGGGCTGGGAAAGGCGGAAAATGGGGGGAAAAGGGGCAAATTGTCACTGCCTGTGTCACCCCACGGTCCTGCCCTTACCTCCCTGATGGTGCTGGCTCCTCTGCAGGAGCACAGGCAAGTTTGGGTGGCCACACTCCGATTGCAGATAGCGGTTTATGGCGGCACAGAGTGCACTCGCTGTCAGCTGGGGGCAGGAAAATGATCCCAGTCCCTTATCCCCAAGCTCGGATCTGAACTGGAGTCATGGGAGACGGCAGCCAGACGGGGAGGGCAGTGTCAGCCGGGTGTGATCAGAGGACAAAACTTGGCTTTTTTGGAAGCTGTGTGGCTCTTCCATGTGGAAGGGCTCCGGTCCCTGGGGGGTTCTCTGCACAGTGACAGGAAATCTTGGGGGACACGTCTGTGTCTGCAGGACGCTGCGCCACCCTATCGGCATCTCTGCGTGCGGAGATCCAGGTGACCCTGACCTACTGCCTTCTGGAGACCCTCCAGCTATTCCTATCATCCCCTTTATCCCAAGCGTCTCCCAGTTTTGACTTTCCTCCACCCCAAATCTCCATTCCCCATGCACTGCTGTCGCTGTCTCGGGAGGAATTTCTCGTTTGTTCGCTCTGGAGCAGTGCTAAGTGGTTCAACATGTCGGTGGTTGCTGCTGGAGTCGGACAGTAAACGCTAATGGGATATTAGTCTGTGCACCGTCCAAAACCCACTGGAAGGGTTTAGTGCAAATTGGATTTGCAAACCTCTCTCGGGTCTCTCTGCCCTTAGCAAAGCGCTGTAATCCCTGGCGGGCGCCTCGACAAGCCGGCTCCTTCTGTGCGAAAAGAAATTAAATATATATGTATAGGGAAAAGGGGAGCGAAGGAAACGGCGGGGTTCCCTCTGCGGGGCTGGAGGTGGCATCAGCATCACCTGCACGTCGTGGTCTGCTGCTGTTGACGGGGGTAGATGGGTGCTGTTGAGGGACACGTATGGGTGCCATTGATGGACATGGATGGATGATGTTGAGGGACACGGATGGGTGCTGTTGAGGGACACAGATGGGTGCCCTTGATGAACATGGATGGGTGCTGTTGAAGGTGTGGATGGGTGCCGTTGATGGACACGGATGGGTGCTGTTGAGGGTGTGGATGGGTGCCGTTGATGGACACGGATGGGTGCTGTTGAAGGTGTGGATGGGTGCCGTTGATGGACATAGATGGGTGCTATTGATGGACACGGATGGGTGCTCGTCCCTCACAGGGCACCTGGGGGCTGTAACTCCTCTGGCCTGCCCCGGCACAGCTCATTTCAGGCTCAGCCTGTCCTGCTTGCAGGGATGCTGCCTCTGGGCAGGATTTATTTCTCTGGGGATGAGAATGGGAATTCTGAAGGTGGGAGCTGAAGGGACCACGTCAGCCCACCGGAGACATGTGGAGAAGCCAGAGGGGCCACTCCCACAGGTGCTCTGGAAAAATGGGGAAATAATACACAAGAGTCCTTCAAGGGCCATCGTGCTCCCAGGGCATTTTTGCAAAGGGGAAACTGAGGCACGCTGCAGCACAGTGACATCCCCTGGGGATCTGGGAGGGCTGAGCGTGCCACAGCGCCAGCTAAATATGCAAAGAAGGAAAACCCTACAAAACAGAGAGGGTGAAAGCGGGCAAAGCCGCTGTGTGGGAGGAGGTGCCGATTTTATGGCAGCCCTCCTGCCTCTGTCGTGTTTTCCCCTCCTTTTGCACCAAGGGCTTTTCCTGTCTCGGGGAAAAAAAAAAAAAAAAAAAAAAGA